AGCTGGTCCGGGCTCACGCTGAGCTCGGTAAACCTTTGATGGAAACTTTGAGGAGTTTGCGAGTGCCGGTGTTCTGTCAGGTCAGCATACCCTGACAGACCAGGATACCCATAGTTTAAGGTAAACACACAAACTTACCAGAAAACAACACCGAAAGTCAAGTACTTTTGTTTACAAATTAACTTAGAAATGCTATTTCTAACAATTTCGTATTTAAAGCATGTGCAGTCCCTGGAAAATTAGAAGATATAAGCAAATAAAAAAACGTGGCAAAATTGTACATTAGTTTGATCATCGATTGAACTGTTCCTTTTAATCCCAACATTGAACAAGACTATCATTACTTTTTTATGTGCTAACTACAACCTTGCTGGTAGTAAGCATCATGCTCACGTTTGATTCACTTCAATTAATCTGTATCCAAGATGACGTAATGTGTTTAGTACGGGAAGCGTTTTGTAGATGGCTGCAGGTGCAGCTAGACCCTTCTCTAAATACACTTTAAACTACCTCAACGCGCGAGTATCCCTTTAGTTTTGCACGAAAGGTATTGCGATCTGTCGGCTTCTCCAAGTGTTCGCTACTTTTCGCAGTTAGCGCGTGCGTAAGACTATGGGCAGGCTGGTCTGTCGGGGTATGCTGACCTGACAGAACACCGGTGTCTGTTTGGAGGCTCCTGAGTGGAGCAGAGCAGCCCAAAATCTGAGAGCTTTCTACGTCAAACCTTCATTTTACGGAGCGTTTATCACTTTATTTTCAGAACCACTCCCTTCGCCTCATGTCTGAAAAGGCTGCTGTTAGAATTGGGCTATAATTACTCACTTTAGCATAGCATGCTACAACTTAATCCGTGTGAATGACAGATTGTCTTATTCCTTTTAGATTCATATTATTCCCTTTATAATGTACTTTTGGGTTAAACTTTCTGGCTCCTCCTCCTCTCTCTGTTACAGTAGATACTCGTCTTTAAGGTCAATATTCACACTTTCTTATCACATTCCACCTAAACCTGCATGAATTAGGACCTGGCCTGTTCCTGTCAGAGCTAACTGGCCAGTAACACTCGTCCTCCTGTTGGAGGCCCAGAGGAAAACTGTCCATCACACCTGGAAATCCAGGCTCTTTGCTAACTGAGATCCTCCGGGAACTTTTGTCTGTCAGAGCCCAGATGATTTACTCTGATTGTGACCAATAAATGTCATATTTGTACTCTTGATCTGCTCTGGTTTATTCTCAGGCTTCCAACTAAAGAACCAAACTAACACTGCGGCCATTTAAATGAATACGTATTCAGTAAAACAGCAAAGAAGTCTCTGTGTCAACGTCTGATTTCTGCTCTGTGATGGGTTGAATATCTTTAGCATGCCACTAATCTCCACAGCGTCCCAACTCATTTGTATTTGTGGTTGTACACATTTCTTTTTAATGCCCAATGAGCAGATAATGCCATGCACTTCACTAAGCAGACATTAAGTCTCCCACTTTTAGCCAACGATAACGTTCTTGATGAGAGTCAGACGCCGTCCAATCAGTCCCGAAGAGCTTCTTCTTCTTTTTCTAAAAAAGAAAAATCATTTTTAAAAAAACAGCATGCCGGTTTGCTCCGCGATGCAGAACGTGTCCAATTA